GCTCTTCAGCTCACACAGAGACACTCACATTGTGCTGAGAATCACGGGGTGCCAAGTACCAATGACCCATAGCCTCCACCTCCCTAACAGGATTAGTCCCAAACCCAAGTAAATTACCTGGAAAAAAACCCTCTGCACTCAGAGATGAGTGACATTGGGCATACAAAACTTTGGAAATTGCTGCACAGAAACGATGCCACGTTAATTTGGCCCCAGCATGTCTGCCTCATGAAACAAATCTGTAATCACAGGATCACCTGCAGTTTTTCTCCAACAAGACCTCTGCCCTGCTCAGTCCCCAGGATGGTTCTGCTCACTGAATGCAGCATTAGTCATAATTTCTTTTCATTATCATTCAACTTGTTTCCCCATTCTCTCCTACTCTCTTCCCCTTTATTTAGTATGCTCCATCCAACTACTGCCAGCATGGATAACATTGCAAGTACCTAATCTTACTGTCCACCACTCTCTCAGCCTCTGATGTGCTTGGCCTCACATTTCTGCAAGGCAGGGAAGTGCTCCCCTCCATATAGAAGATGGGGAATAGTGGCTCAAGGAAGTAGAGACTAAAGTCACAGAGAAAACCTGCAAGAGCAGGAAGCTGAACATGGGTTTTTGACCACAGCTCCCAGGCTGAATCCCTGCCCCAACGAAATCCTTTCTCTCTCCTGACCTGCAAGAACAAATTTTAATCTCTTCCTGAAATTGTTTCTGCTGTTTATCTGTGGAGCTGGAATGCCTGGCAAGCACTGAATCCATTGCATTCTTCACAGGATGACTGGAAGAATGTTCTTCTGAACAGACATAGGAAAATGAGTGAAGAAAACATTGACTCTGAATGTCTACTTCTTGTGAGTGCCCATCTCAAGACTTGCAGATCCCTGTCTTCCAATCCACTTATTCCTGTGTAGCACAGAGGTATTCACAAGGGAATTCCTCCTGACCTCCTCTTGTTGCTAGGAACACAGGTCAGTCTTCAGGTCTTGAGCTGGGCATCCAGAAAATGAGGAAGACTAAGTCACTTGCCAGATGAGAACATTTTACCTTAAGACTCTGGAGTAAGAGTAATAGAGGCAGGAACAGGACCCAGTTCACCAGGGCAACATTTAACAGGCTTCACTGTAAGACTACTGTGATTTTTCTGCAATTACCTGCCTCATTCATTACACACTTTCCAATTTTAACAAATAAAGTGAAAATTCTATAGGAAAGAGTCTACTCCATGCTCCTGATTCATCCCCCAAACACACTACATCTCTGTGCAGTGAATGAGGCAAGCACACGCTGTTAAAAATATGTATGATTCTTCAATTAGATATTGCATTGAAATATACATGTGTAACAGGGGCAAGGCTAAAGTGCAGAGATATTTCTTACATTCTGTGTGCTAGATTTTACAGTTAACGAGGACTCTTTAACTATAGGTTTTACTGCACTGTAGTGGCTTGTATGTCAGTCTGCAGTAGCATCTGATGCGTAATATGTATGTTGCACATGATCAAAGGCTTGAATGTCATCTTCTTGCCTAGAACAATGACTGCCTAAAGCTGCAGGAGCAGAAATTATCTAAAGGTAGAGTTAAACAAACCTCCTTCTCCCCTCTGGGGAGAGTAAGCAGCCCAGGTGAGCAAGGCAGGAAGGGAGAACAGCCTGCTTTGTGCTAGACGGGCAGAGAGCTCCACATAAAAGCAGAGGAGCTTTGCAGAAGCATGTCCTGACTCCCATCACTGGAGACTTAATGATGGTAATTCCCAAAGGATGATGCATGCTGACAGGCTTTGACACAAACTACCCCAGGATAATATTAATATGTATTAAAGGCTCAGGCAACTTTATTGGGACGGGCTTGATCAGTAACACATTTCAACAGAGCGTCTCTATCATTTGTCGGAACAAAAGTAAGGGAGGGAGAGAGAACACACGCACAACCTCACCTTGCTTTGGGAATGTTTTAGAGACAAACAAGGTCAATCTCTGATGAATTGCACACTTGGCACAGCTCAGATGTTGGACCAAGGACGCTCCACCACAAATAAGAATGTCACTGTGGGGCAGTTTATGTTAGAGTCTGTCTGCATGATCAGCATCCTTAACCCTCCAGTGTGGGCCAGACACCTCCTGCACAGCCTTACCCTGTGCATCTGGAATATCTACCCCTTGGAAAGCAGAGAAGAGGTACTTAGGAGGCAATGTGGGGGCTCTGCAGTCACACCACTGAAGGAAGGGGGAGTGGAAGAAAGAATCGCGGAAGCCTTTGATCATGTGTAATGTTAATTCAAGTGTTACACATCAGAGACTTTGCCACAGTAACTAGCATATAAACAGGACTCTAGTGTTAACAAGGAGGACTTATTGAATATGTTTGTACATTTCTGAGTAAAAGCAATTTCCCTATTCAACAATACATGACATAGTGGAAGGAGTTCAGAAATAAACCAGCCTAACATGCTTAGACCTTTAATAGAATTTAGCTTCTTAGAACTAATTAAATGTTACTTAAATGAAAAAAAAAAAATCCAAGTACTTGGGAAAGGTGCCAATTTGACAGCTCTGGAGAATGAAATAATCTAATCATCCCCAGAGCACGGGCAGCAGCAGGACAGGCTTCCCCTACTAACATGCCTAAAACGTGACCTGGAAAGACTGTTGACAGAAATGGGGCGTACAATCTCTCTGGTCTAATGACTCCTTACTTTTTCTGCTGAGACTGCTAAAACGGTTCCCACTGAGTACCAGCTGTGGTGGTGATATGGACACCTGTCTGGTCAGAATGGTGCTGGCACATGCCAAACTCCTGTCATCTGCTAACCCTCCACCAGAGCCCAGTGACTCTCAGCCCATTGCTCAACCCGGGCAGCAGCAGCTGATAGACAGCAGCCCTCAAGCCTGTCCCACCTTGGAGACGCTCCACTCCAGCCCACAAGATGTAAACAGGAGGTACTGTGTTTAGTCTGCAGGTTTGGGCTCTCACTGCACCAAAACTTACACTCAAGAGAAGTCAGTCTCTGGCTGCTGCAGAGTTGAAGCTGGGATTTTTAAGGCTCTTATTTCTACCCTAAGAGAGAGAAAAAGTCCACAGGAGGAAAAGCCTGCCATGTTTCCTCTTCTCCACAGTAATCAGTCTTTGCAACATGCCCCTGCATTGCAGTAATGTGCTTTCAGCCACCAATTCTCCTTGGAGCTCTTTGCTGTGCCTGGGGTCCCAAGCAAGGGAGGAGGCAAATCCTCTCTGGGCCTTGCTGTGAAAGCTTAGCAGGGCTTGCCAACTCAGCCAGCCCAGGCTGCAATGGACTAAACCAAACACAGCTCGCCTCCTTGGAAATTTTATGCACCACAACTTCTTTTACTTCTGAAGCAAAGCCATATGAACCTCCCCCTCCCTTGCTCCCAACACCACAAGGAATGGTTGAGCACGGATCGAGTCTTCCCTTGCATACTAAGCCAAGATTCTCAGACACTCCCACATCATCTCACAACTGGGTGCTACTCCTGTTGTCCCAGGCTGCTTTTAGCCTCCCTTCCTCCCCCCTTCAGCTTGTCCTCCTTTGTACACAAGACAGGACAGGGCAGGGGCCAACAGCAGGGCTGGCTGTGTCAGACAAGAAGATCCAATACATTGGCCTTGTGTAGAAAACAAGCGAGGGAACTTGCTTCTCCCCACCACCTGAGCCAGCAATTCTTCAACTTTCCATGCCATCTTCTCCAAAAATCTTGCACATTTTTCAGCACCGAAATAAGAGACATGAAAATAGCCAGGTTCATAAGAGTTAACATGTCTGTATGGTGACATAATGATTGCCATTCTTCTCTGTTTAGAGGTTACCTGACTACTCTACACATCAATATATTTCAAGATGTGATGTAAATGCAAACACACAATCATGTTTGGAGTTAATACAGTCACAAGATCCTGTGTATCGTGTGTTGGCAAGCACAGGAACCAACAGCAAATGACCCACCCTTAAACCTGACTCTTTGCTGTTAATCATTATAGGAGCATTGCACTTTCCAGTCAGAACAATCAAAGAAGGCTCTTTGAAAATCCCTACACGAGATGCTTCTGGCTGAGATTAGTTCCTTTACAAGTCACACAGATTCCAAGGTATGATGTCCTCCAGACGTAAATGCAGCCTACAGAATGCCTTGAAAACAAGTAATTGGAAAGCTAACTGTAACACTGCAATGCTGAAACTACCCCCTGTCTTTAAAACAGAAGGGGAAGCAGGAATGCCACAGTGAAAGCAGAGATGTACTGCACACATAGTCCCTCAGAAATGGGCTTTTCTGCATTAACACATTCCCTCAAGATTTTTTTTTTTTTCACAATATGCTTATAACCATAAAGAAATTCAAGGACAGAACAGTGCTACACTGTCAGATCATTAGTGCATCACTACTCTAGGGCTGACCCTCAACTCCAAGCAGATGGGGATTTTCCAGGGAAAATCTGTGACACCAAGAACATGTGGGTGCAAAAATGTGTGGGTGCTTCAAGCAACCACAAGCTTTTATCAAAGAATCAATAGAAAAGAGCTAAAACTGAAAGGCATTGCTCTCTGTGCTGCTCTCCCATTAGGGATGATGTCAAACCGAGATCTTGGTCCTGCAGGATCACAGTCCCACAGCTTTCTAGCTCTTCTGACCTGGCTCCATTCTTGTTTAGGTCATTCCACTCTGCCTCCCCAAATTCCTTTCTGGAAAAAATCAAGAATAAATACAGCCTGTAAAGTGTTCACCAACTTCAGGAAATGGATACTACTGTATTCACAGATGATATCTGAATTTTCCAGTCAATTATCTTTTTGAGTTCCACGAATATAAATAGCAACATTTCACCATTATTTTTTTAGGCCATAATTACTGAAAATATTGTGCAAGAGCTACGAGAGATGGTGCAGCAGAAGCACAGGTTTGTTACACTTTTAAACAATATAAGCCCAAGATAATTTTTAGGTCGCAGTAAAGGAGGAAAGAGGAAAACAGGAGACAGGCTTTCTCACTTGTAACCAAGGTCCGTGGGCTGCATAGGGGTGCTCCTCTGTGGCAAAGGCTCCTTCTACTCCTGTTGATACAAATGTGATTGCTGTATCTCCTGTAATACTTTTATATGTAAAGTGCCGTCCATGTAAGAGCCTTCCCCTGGGGAAAGAAACACATGTGCATGAGTTGAGAGGGCATATGCAGCATTCAACACAACAATGGAGATACATCACTACTGTTTCTGCCATCAGCATGGGAAATTATTTTGAAGGCAGCAAATATTTATTTTTCAGGAATATAAGAATGATTTGCTTAAAAGAGCAGGTGATAAGCCTCCTTCTGAGTCAGGGAGCTACCCCTCATCTTCCTCCTTAATCTCAGGACCTTGCTACAGAGCTAGAATACATCTAAATCCCACTTCATGCCTATCCCCATGATGAGGTGCTGATGTATGTAAAGGAGGGGACAGATGGAAACTACAGAAGAGACTCCACATAGTGTGGGAATGTGAAGATGCATTTCTAAGAAGGCTCATTTCTGTGACAATACCTAGTAATCAATTGTCCTGGTGTTTGACAAATGTCACCTGTATTATTAGGCCAATGCCTAGAAAACACACATACACAACCATATACAATATTACTTCCCTTTTTTCATTCAGTGCAAGGGAAAATCATGGCTCTGGTATTTCGACTCAGAGCATCTGTGACACCCATGCCTGGCTTCTAACATGCAAGAGAGAAAGCTCCAGGTAATATAGTTAGTGCCTACCAGAGTCACAGTTGCTTGGTGAGTTACTGCTGGTCAGATGAGCTAACTGATCAGGACAGACTGTTCACTCATTTGTGATGTAAAATAAAATATGTTTGCATTAACTTTCCCATTGGTTTCTCAACAGGCCCAGGCAAGTGTGCACCTGCTGCTGATAACTCTGATACTACCAACATGCAACTCATTAAGCTAAAGTAACTCAATCACCTACAATCATTTGTCCTGACATGACAGTTCATCTTTATCTTAAGATACTAGAACATTTGCGCAGGGAGTTTTAAAAATAATGCTGGCTGAAATTACGGAAAACTAGAAGGCAGTGATACGCACAGACTGAACCTTCAAAAGAAAATGTGTAGAGTATGCACACAATGTGTTGCTCCTTCAGTCATGTGACACAATTTGTCTAAAACCCACACTTGTATGCATAAACTGATTGCAAACAGGTTTTGCGTAACACTTATCTGAGTCCGTAAGTCAGAATGAATAACTTAAGGGATTTCTTTGACAGAGTATGTTAAGACATCCCTTCTTTATCACAGGGTTGCTAGATTAAACTAATAAAAAAACTCCTATACTAACCCTGTCCTGCTTCAGCACTCAAAAGACACTGGAGGACATAAAAAGAATGAGAAACAATCTTAACATGATGAGCACAGAATCATGCAAAGAATCATCTGTTTCTAATGTCTTCTGGCAAAATATCTAAGCTCCGGCCTTTACAGACCTATTGCATGCATGTCTGTATGGTGAAACAATGCCACAAGGCAAAAGCAGCATGTTAGCACAGGCTGGGAGGAGGATGGCTTCACTCACCTTAGACAGAGAGGGATGAGCGCTCCGGACTCCTGGTTAAATTTCAGGTGCACACTCTCCAGCTGTCTTGTGCGGATCAGCTCATGAGGAATGATGGCTGCTGAGCTCTCGCTTTCCAAACTGTCCTTACGGCTTCTGCGAGAACAGACAAAATGCACATATTCAGGATTCCAGTACTGTGTGCTATTTTAATTGCAAATATGGAAGGATACAGGGAAAAACTGTTATGAAGACAAAGACACATCTGAGTTTTCACCACTCCTGCAGAGATACAGCCTCACTCAGACTATCAGTCCCAGCATGCAGCTCTTCACCTTGATTTGACACCTAGGATCTGAATCAATGCATGTACATGGTCCATCCCTTCCCAGAATTAAAAAAAAAAAACAAACACAATTCTGGAAAGAACTGCAGAAAAAAAGTCTCCAAAACTCTAAACACTATGAAATGGTTTCGAAGAATTACCAGGTGTGTCCTTTCTCCTACTTTTGTTTTATCTTCAGGATTTTTCAGGCAGAGGCCTGCAGGAAAAGACTTTCCCAGTGCTTTGTGCCTTTTTTTGCACAGTTCAACCAAAAGGCTTTGAGAATCTCCTGTTTCCATCAGCATCAAGTGCAACAGCCAAAAGACACTCTCTGTGTGACAAGTAAGAGATTCACAGATTCTTCTCCCTTGTAAGTCAGGCTGCTTTAGGACAATGGTAACTTTACTTTCTTATTCCTTCATTTCTGCAAGACCAGCATATTCTGAAGCTACAACACAGTTATGTTGTTTCATGATTATGTTGTTTCATGCCAGACCAAATCCTCTAGATAATAAAACGTTCTACCTCAAAATACTTGACCATAAACACTTTATATGTTCGAAGAGCATCAGCATAATCCCATACTTGACAGTCTGGAATAAAGGACAGGATTGGTTATGACTTTAAAGGATGACATGGACTGATGAGAAGTGTCTGATAAGTCATCTATATTTTTGTCACCTGGCATTCCACAAGAATTTAATAGAGGTAAGACTTTATGAAGATAATTTTTACAGGACAGAATCACCAGAGGAGAGGGACAGGGAAAGCAGGAGGGCACCGAGGTTCCACATTGCAATGTATCTCCATTGTGCCACAAGGACCAAAAGCCAAACAAGGCTATCAAGCTGTGGCTCCATTTAACACTGTTAAAACAAGCCTGGATCCCTTCTCCATCCAAGCTGAACTGTCTTTAGTGTACATCTGGAAATGATTGTAAAGAATCAGCTTCAACCTCATGAGCTGACCTAGATGATACCTTTACTTGATTTTACCTTTGAGAATTGTCCCAAAATAACTCTCACCAGCCACACACATAGTAGTGCAGTTCAGTGGGAATTCCAGTGCAGATCAGCTTGTTGCTTCTGCTGGGTCACCTAATCCCACCTGAGGGGGAAACAGCCTCCCCACCTAGTCCCTTCACCCATGCTGCTGAGCTGCCCACTCTGAAACAGCTAAACTCTGATATCTCATGGTCCAACCTTCAAATACACTGCATGGCCAGCTCAGAGACATTCAGAAAAAAGACACCAGAACAGCTCAACTCTCTGCAAGATAAAAACTATTAAAACATGCCCCATCTTCTTCTTTAGCAACACACAAAAGTGGTAATGTATGCAGCAAGGACTTGGTACACCAGAATACAGCTTATGCACAGGGTGGGCTGAGGGACTGAGAGTCAGCAGAGTGTCAGTTTAGTGGGTTAACCCTGAAGCAAAGACACAACATGCTTTGTAGTATATGTGTGGCACTTAAAGTTGTATTTAATCTACTTCAGCAAACATTTTATAGCTCTTTCTAGGTGGGGTCTTCAAAGAGTGGAGCAGGCCAGCATTTTTCAGGCTGATTACCTGAGAAGTGCAGTTACAGTTGATTAATGATCAGTTGACCTTAAGCTAAGCTTTGTCTCAACTTCCTTATCAGATCTTATATACACAGTGAGCTGTGGGAAAGTCAGCCTGTGGTCTACAGCTTCCAATCATTCATTTATCAGCCCCCTACCAAAAGGGTCAGCCATTAGCAACGCATGATTTTCAAGCAAACTATAAACTTGCACTCCTAAATGCAGTTCCAGAGTTTAGGCACTGTGGAGTGGATCAGGAGTTTTACAGCAATGTTAGTGCTACAGACAAGCGACCGTGCCCAGCTCACCCAGACTGCCTAAGCATGCCAGGCATGGCGACATCCCAGAACAGCCTCACAGGCAATCCATGGTGGGAGGTTTGTGTTTCAACAGGACAGAGAGCTGCAGGACAGCTCCCCACAGCCCTGGACTACCAATCCCTCCGAGCTGAAGGTTGGTTTTTAGGTTTCCACCATGCTAGCCAGTACAGCTGCGAGCACAATGAGGGCTGCAGTCCGGAGGGGAAACAGCCTCTGGTTGTTAATGCAATAATAGGAATGACGACAATAATTCTGGAGGCAAGGGGCAAAGCTTTCTGAGTCTTATTAAAACCAGCAAATGCTGTTTGTCATTACATGCTCAAGAGAAGATGCTGACTAATGTATAACTATCAAATGGAACTGTCATGACTTTACGGCTGTCAATAATTATGACTTCACATTAATAAGTAACCAGCCCTTCTGTCAAAAAGGTGAAGCAAAATGGTAGTTAATACTGTGAATGACATGAAAGGATTAATCCTTTCCAAAATACTCATACTCTCTGTCTCTTATTTCCCTTCAGAAGAGCTCACACAATTTCAGGTATTTAAAATTAAGGGTGAAACTCCAACAGCAGAAATCAAATAACCTTCTGTCTAAGGCAGACCTTTCTAAACAAGAACTGAATATAGTGGAATGCACATAACACATCAGGAGGTCACAGTGCCATCACTTTCAGACACAGAAAAATGTCACATGACACAGAGACTAAGAAAGACCCATTAAAATTCTCTCTTTGGCATAGGAAATCCTTGTGCTGACCCTTCCAGAGGGTGAGCACCCAGATAAAGGGTCAAAAGGACCTCTAGGTTGTTATTAATAAAAAGCTCATATCCTAACACACATTGCTATCCACAGCTTTTAGTTTTCAGACTCAGAAAAAAAATGTAGAAAAAGTTTGCTTTCTAACACTAACATCCCTGGTTTTACGACTGTCAGTTACCCGTAAGTCTTTGCTTCCTCCACCCCATCACCAAATAAATCAGCAGCAAGAGTCAGTGGAGTTTTACTTGTTATGACTAAGATCTAGCTGACTATCACAAAAAATGTTGCAAACTTTGTCTGTGCCAGATTTAATACTTTGTCCAACCCCCACAAAAAAATTCATGGTTCTCAGTGTCCAGAAAAAACAACTCTGCAAAAGCCAGGGCTGCTGCATTAGGAAAGGCAGCAGACTTAAATGGAAGCAGCATGCCGGAAATGCCCCAGTTTAAAGACTGCACATCTAGTGTTTTGTGAAACTGGAGGGGAGTTGGAGGAGATTAAAGCGCATTTCCCTCTGATTGGGAGCTTGTGGGAGGTGTAAACGTGGGCAGTTGTCAGATTAATTCTTTAGATGATTACATTCTTTTTGTTTCTTTAAAGCTGTTTGTAGTTGGGTTTGATGTCTCCTGTTCTGGGCAAGTGTATTGCTGCAGTTACCAAGGTGACTTTAGCTGACTTTCAACTATTTTTTCCAGCTTCAGTTTTACCAGTAGTCTGCTTCTGGGTGGAGGAGAGAGGGAGGAAATTATGTTTGTTGTTTTTTTGTTAAGTCTCATGAATGCTGATTAACAAGAACTTAACCAAATCCATATTTGATTTTTTTTCTCTTTTTCTAAGAAAAAGGGTGGTGAAGCCATTGTAAAGGTGTCCAGTGTGGCCTGCAGCTTCCTCAGATCTGTCAACAAGGGGAAAGGGCCTGAGGAGACTCAACCCCAAGCGTGCTGTGCTCCTCCTTGATGTGAGAAGGCCGCACGCTGGAACCTGTAGCCTCCCGGGGGCCCTCTCTTTGTATTAAAGATGAGGGTGGCTGTAACCTGCTTAATTTGATGCCAATTAGCAGCAGCCCGTGGGGATCCTGGAAAATAGCCAATGCAATCACTGGGTTGCACAAAGTTTGGATGTTCCCTCCTTATAAGTCATGTTTATAGCAACTCCTTCTCAAGCAACCACTGGCAGTTATTTTATGGGATTCAAGAATAACCAGGTTGATTGGATTAAGAAAGGTTTATTTATTCTTGCATTTGCACTTTGCTTTATGATCAGAGTGCTTGATCTCATGGATCTGTCAAGGAAGGATGTCTCAGTTCCCCTCTAAGCTCTGTTGCTGATATGAAGCATAATTTTGCTGCATTTCCAAGCTACCCTGCCAGGTATTGAAATCACAAAGGACATGCTGTTGGAAGCTGGCCATGGCAGGAGCTCTTTCCAGGAGTGGGTGCCCACTGCCTCACTGAAGTTGGTTTCTGTCATTGCTCCTTGTCCCTCCATATAAAATTCAGTACTGTGAGTTAGCAAATGCAAACCATCAGTGCAGGCTTGCACAGCTGAGAGAGAAAGGTCGGGCCACTTTTCCTTTCTTCCCCTCCCGCCTGCCCCCTCCTTCCACTCCCCATTCTTCCCTTTCCAACCGTGGCTGTTTCAAACTTCCTCACTCCCTCATGAAGATATGGTCAAAGATCACTTAAGTGCCAACAATCTTTCAGTCTCTTTCCCACAGTTTCCCCTGAAGGACAAACCAGCAGCTGTGGGAAAGAGCCCTAAGCACCTTGGCACAAAGAGTTACAGCACCCATCAGGCATGCACAGAGGCAAGTGCAGGACTGGGGAGGACATGGTTACACAGCTCCTGCTGTGGTCACACTGAGACAAGCCTACTTCGAGTGCTCAGACTTGGGTGCTCCTCAGCCTGGTTAAACAGGATGGTGACGATGTTCTGTGTGCATTTCCTGGCAGGGAAGGGCTGCTAGGACAATGCCAGTAGCAACAATCTTCTTGCCACTCACATATCCCTTTGGAAAGCTGCATAATAACCACTGTCAGAGCTTGTAGGGGCCAGACTGTTCCAGGACCTGCAGTTGAGGAATTGAGAGATTTAGGCTGTGCCACTGGCACCCTGCAGACTCGTGAGCAAAGTCAAACAACTCTTTTATGCTTCAGGTTCCCTGTCTGTAAATCAAGACATT